GGGAGCATACCATATGACATGTCCTTTGAAAAGTGTTGACAAAACGATTGAGATGAAATCTGTTCCATACGTATGTTATGGTAATTGTTTATACGTTGAGTCAAAAATAGCTAATGTCACAGGTATTTCAGGAGTTAATAGTAAAGGTTCAGTAGAATATAAATCCTTCTGTTATGCAGTCAATTCAATGTTCATTCCAAACGTTCCTGTCATAGTAACTCATTTAGGTAAATGGGTTCGCATTAGTCCTCATAATTTGAAAGACATGCAATTCAGACTTGTTGACTTTCAAGGAGAGCCTGTAGAACTGAAGGCACCAGTGCGAATGACTGTTGAAGTTGACTTTTTAGAAAATATTAAATGCAACAGCTTACAAGAGAACTCAGAGCTAAAAATATAAAGTATGAATGTTATGTATTAGGTCATGAACTTTGGTTATTGCTGTTTGATGAAACAAATGAGTTAGTTATGTCAGTCAAGAGAACAGAAAAAGGCGTCAAAGGCGCCGAGCGCAAAGCGCTATATTGTGTTAGTGAAAACTGCACCAAGTCAATAAGATTAGGTTTGCATTATGAAGATGAGTTCGATACTGTTGAAGAAGTTTTGGATAGATATTACAAATTGCTTTAATTTACTAAAACATATTTCAAACAAAGCTTATATTCTGTTGAAAGTTTTGTATACTCGTTCGAATATTTATACTTAAACTCAACTCCTGTAGTTCCTGGTGTTTCAATGATGCGGATGTTACCTATTTTCATGAATGGTGGCGTTTGACCACAGCATTCGATTTCAGGGTCGAGATAGTCAATGACACATTGTTTCCCTGTTATTCGTGATATAACATTTTCAAGGTCCTCCTTTGTTAGAATTATTTGGTTCTTGCTTATAAGATTTGTCAAAAGCTTCTTATCGTCTTTGAGTAAAATTGTTTGGTATAACTGAAGAAGGTAATGGTCTACGTTATCTGAAGGATTTGTTTGAACATTTGTGTAAGGGTTGTCGTTGGCTTCTCTTGAAAGAACTTGGTCCAGTGGTGGATACTCTAACTTAACATCTGATGTAGCGTTAGCGTTTGAAGCTGAGTTTAAATTCACGGATTTCAGTTCTGGTTCTTTTTCTTTCAAACACTCTGAACTATAGTTCTTTATGACAATATTGTTTGTCGTTCGTGAGTCAACATTTGATGTTGGTTCAATTGGAACATTAACGGCACCAGCTAAGATGGATTTGCTTCTCATTTCATATAGAATAAAAACCTTTTATATGTATGAAATGAACAATATACTCGACAAGGGTTTGAATGTAAAGCTAACGAATGAAAATATTGTTGAATTCACTGAGACAGGTGCTGTGTATAAAGATGTAGAACTACTGAACAAAAGAGCTAAGGGAAGAAGCAGGAACATGAACAAAGGGTGGAAGCCTATAAAAATTTATGTCAATGATGGCTCAGGAGGTTCAAACATAAAGTATGCAGAAAGTTATAGAGTTTATGCTCTCAAAGGTGAAAAGCCTTCATTTAAGAACAGCTATTCTAACGCATATCCTCAAAAGCTAACGGATGGAGAAGTGGATGATATGAATGACAGCAAAAATATTAACAGAAATGGCGACAGAGATGCATGGAATTTGTTTACCATCAGTCAATTGAAGGTTAAACTTTAAAACAATGTTGGTCGTTCCCATGGAATATTTTTGACTTTAATGGTATTAGTCATGATATGAATCTCAAGGTATGAACGAGGAGAGATGAGAGACTTATATGCTTCCCAAATTTCTTCAAAAGGTAATGTTATACCTGACTGTTTCCAAATGAGTTCAATATCATAACGTGAGAAACCTTGAAAGATAACGAAGTCAGTTATGAGACGTTTTATGTTTAAAGCAAGAAAACGCCATGTTTGCATAAGTATTGCTACAGTTAAGTGGTAATGTCTGACTTTAGTAATGATGTTAGCTAATGGTGAGTCAGGCTTTGACACTAAACCTTTTCCGGCGAAGTCGTCGCAAACGAGCAGAGTATTTGAAGGATACTTTTTGAAGGGGTATTTTGAAAGTTTTGACAGAATGTAGTTTGTAAGTCGTTTCATATCGTAAACTCCTGAGTATTGACGTAAGTGGTGTTTGTCAATAATTCTTTCCATCTCTTCTGAAGTCTTTTGCATTCCTGACTGTATAAATTCAACGATGGCATAATATTTCCTCTTACGTCGAACGTAACGTTGAAGAAATTCAATGAGTTCGCTATCTGGAACTTTAACGACAGATGCTTGAACTTTTGACATAAATGTTTTCGCTGTTGAGTCCATAGAGTCTGAAGTTGCTGATATAATGATTTGGTCATAATATGAATCTTGACCTAAACGCTCTGTTATGAGTATATGACGAATGAGGTTAAATGTCTTACCTGAACCCATCTTTCCACAATAGAAATAACACCATTTGAACAGAATTCATAATCTTTGCTGAAAGGAAGAATGAGAGAAGAGTTAAGTTTGTCTGTAGTTTCATTCATGTCTTCATCTACGTCATGTATTAAATGCTTCATTTTATCTCCATTAAAAATGCAAGTCAGAAATATTCAGAACATAGCACCGAGTCTAACTGACAAGAGTATAAAGATATACTATGAACACGTTATGATGAAACCAACCAAAATTCAAGAAAGTCAGTATACTTATGAATATCCAAGACACTGGGTAGAGTATGTAGGAGGTGAGAAAGCTATTGAAATCAGACAGGTTCGAAGTATTCCAGCAGGAAGGACAATATTATTGAAGAACTTTAATGTTTTGAGGTATAATGATGAAACAAAGAAGCAAGATAGTTTTCCCATTGCTGTGTATGTGAACCTAGACACAGGAGATGACATGAAAGTTTTTAACACAAAGCTTCAAACGGTAGTGAGAGAACAACTGACTGCGGAAGGGCATCCATTACCTTCAGAAGTTACCATAGCATATAATTTTGAAACAAACTCAATAGATTTTAAAGTCATCTCTGCAAAGAAGTCAGGTTTTACATTTAATGAAGCAGATGTATATTCGAATGAAAACTTCAAAGCTATTGCATGGTTAGATAATGACGATTGCTTTAAGAAAATATTTAAATTCAGTGACTCAACGATGTCAATAGATGACCTTCGTGGAATGTTACCATCGATGTTTACAGTAGAAGGTTCAGCAGGATTGCTTACAAGATTGTCAATTGGTGGTATTTGGTCTCGTGAGAACATTGTTATAAAATCCAGTATAAGTGAATTTGCTGAAGAATCTATATTATGTCTTTCAAACTACATGTATTCGCCGCCGAAGCATTATAGTATAACAAACTTTGTCAGTAAGTTTAACATAAGACTTGTCGAACCTTCTTCAATGAAAGATGTTGTGCTACCTAAAGATGGAAAGGATGGACTCATTATTGAGATGATTTTAATTGCATATTAAATGAGCTTGTTCTTGAAGGTCATTCATGATGAAATAACTGTTGTAGAAGATGTTAGCAATTGTTCAGACATTTTGAAGCGAATAGATGAGATAAGAAAGAAGTTAGATAGACCGCAAAGCGGTGAGGGCGAAGCCCGTGAGAATGTTTATGTTTCATTGACTTTCTCCAGTAACGAGAACTTTTATGAGATAATATTGAAGAGAGATGATTTTAATATGGTGTAAATGGTAGCTTGGGCAGCTTTAGGCGCAATGGGAACAAAAGCATTAGCATTTGGAGCAAAAGCACTTGGAGCTTATGACGCAGTAAATAAAATGAGTGGAGGAAGGGTTTCGAAGACATTAGATGCAAATAAAGGGAAGATTGGAGGCTGGGTTGCAAAGAAGTTAAGATTAAATAAAATAGGGCTCATAAATAAAGCATCCAATTTGGTTGCGACTGAGTCGGAAAATGCTTTAGGAAAGGACGATGAGTTTTCAAAACATGCAAAAGACTTTAATGACCAGATGAAAGGTGAAACAATGCATTTAAATAGAGTCGATGGAACTCTTCCTCCACCAGCAGTTCTTCCGTATGGTCCCTATGGAATGTATGGAAACCCTTACGAAAGACCATTTGACCCATTGACTGGTGGAAGTAACTGGTATCATTACGGACGAAGAAGAAAGACAGTCAAGTTGGAGACAGACGTGAAGAAAGCAACTAAAAAGAAACCAAGGAAGAGAGTTATAAAGCAATGAATTCATGAGGTGAAAAAAGAGGTGAAAAAAGAGGTGAGATTTCACCACTTCACCTAAATTTATTTTTGTGCTATGTTTTCATACGTGTGAGGGTGGTGATATCATTAATTTTAAGTTTATTTTTTATTTTACTGAAAATTTTTATTTTATTTTTAAGTTTATTTTTATATAAATGACGAAAACTATTGAGATAACAAACTACAACGGTCATGAGTTCAAGAATTTGTTCTTCGTTCCTCGTGAAAATACATTCTATCAGATACGAGGGAGAAAGGGTAAAGTTAGTTTGAGCGTTTATGAAGGAATGAAGAATGGAAAGTTTATACAAGCATACGATACAAACGGTAAACGTGTTTCATTAGCTTTGTCAAAACTTACTAACATTTATTTTGACAGTGATTTTGACTCTGACGATTGGAGCGACAGCAGCGATACTGAAGAATATGAACTATTGTGTGAAGCACAGCAATGGGAAGAGTTGCAATACTTTTGTAAGTGAGAACGTTTATTTTTTACAGTAGTAAAGTCGTTTGTGAAAACGTTAGTGAGGTGAAGTGGTTGGCGGCTTTATAAATATTTAAGGTTAAGTTAATGTTGTCGTTTGTGTTGTAAAATAAACGTTAACGGTTTTGTAAAGTGTCAAATTCACAAGTATTGCGTACTGAGAAACGCAGTGCCTCAGTACACGACTTAACCATACTAACTAGGAAGTGGTGAAGTTCTTGTATGACCAATGAACTCATTTTCAACGCCTTTGGCTATATTAGAGTAAAGTATTGCTTGCTTTCTATCCCAAATGCCAGGTGTTACAATCTTTGAAAATTCATTTTTCCTCGGAAGCATTGCATCATAATTGAAAACATTCTTAAAATCATCACTTGGTTCGGAGATTTGAAATCTTATACGTAATGGATTTTCTTTCTTTTTAGCGACTTCATTGAATGGTGAGAATACAATGAATTGACAGTCATGAGTTCCATCTTCATTTTCATTAAATTCATAATGAAAGTCTATAAGTTGTGGCTGACTACCTTCTTCTTTCAGTTGTGCAAGAAACTCACGTAAAGGCTGTAAAGTTTGTACTTCAATGTTGAACTTTTTCTCGAACATCTCATTAAATGAAATCATACATTGCAACAATGTTGTATCGTCTTTAAAGTATTTGTATATGTGAATGTTTTGGGCGCTTAAAGACTGTTCGTCATTTTCTATCTCGACTTGAAGTATAAAGTCAACCTTTCTGAAAGCACGTGTTATATACATAGATGTTATGCCAATGTACTTCTCTTCATTTATGTTCACAATCCAGTCTGTTGGAAACTTAAACGTTACTCTGTTCCCCTTTATTTTGACGTCAGGGTTTTCACTACTGAACGCAACAGTTAAAGGTATTTGTCTATACATTTAATTCGGATAAAAATAAACCATTTACTCTTTCTTTGCTTCAGCTTCTTTAGCTTTTGCTTCAGCTTCTTCTCTAGCTTTTTTTCGCCAGCAAACGTGGGTTCTTCTGTCTTCCAGCAGCTAATGCAGCAAGTTGTTTTTCACTAAGTTTTCTCTTTGGTCTCTCTGGCTTTTGTTCTTGTTTTTGTTCCTTCAGTTCGGATAAAATTTGCTCGCGAATTTCTTTCTTCAATGCTTCAACATCTATGACCCCTTGGGTCTTGTCCGTAGGGTTTGTCTGAGTCATTTGACTGCAGATAAAAAACAAAATTAAAACTTTAACCGATGTAAAATGAGCTTGTCAAAATCAGAGCGAGAGTCTATTATATTAAATGACGCAAGAGGAATACAACATCCTTTCTATTACGTAAGTCAGAGTAAAGATGGTAAAATATACGTAAGAAAAAGAAAGGTTCCATTAGCGAATGCAGAGAGTGACAACATTAAGGTGCATAGCACCGAGGGTGAAGCCCATATAAAACCTTCTATTCAAACTGAAAAGTCAATAGAACAAGAAGAAAAGAAGCCAGATGTTCTTTCAATAACGAACCAAGAGCTTATTGCAAAGTTCGTGAATTTCATTGAAAAACAAACCGAGTCAAAGAATCCTGACCCACCAGTGAAAGAAGTTGAGACAAAAGAGAATGTACAGTTCATTGAAAATGTCAAGAAACAACTTCCACCACGAATGCCAAGAAGAAGAGTGAGAATAATGAAGTAAATAGATATTTTTATCTGAAGTAAATACATGCAGAACGAACAGTTAAACGAATTTACTCCAGCAGAGCATATTCATCAGATTCGCTCATATTTCGATATCATAGACAATGCAGTTCAAATTGGTGACACTAATAGAAAATATTCTGACCAAAGATTCCATCACAACCTGGAACTGCTAAAGATAACACATGGGTAACATTCAATCTCTCACCTCCTGGTGAAAATATGTTGGACCTTTACAATACATTCATTACGTATAAAATGGAAGGTCAATTTATTGCAGATAAAGAAATTGGTTCAGGTTCCAATAAAACAAACCCACCAGGATTTTGGATTGGTTTCGATGACGCTTTCTATGCAGTTGCTGGATATCAAATCCTTGCAAATGGTCGTATCGTATATTCTCAAGACAACGCAAGAGAAGAAGCATATATAACTTCAAACTCACAAACTACCGAACAAATAAAGAAAGTAGATGTTTTCTCAAAGACTCGACATGAAGATGTATGGAGTCATTCGGGAACATGCAGAACAGGACAAATTGTTAGTGGTCCAATTACAGCAGGAAAATCATTTGATTTTAAGCTTCGTTTAAGAATTCCTGTTAGAAGATTCCTTCCATTAGAAGCTATAAGATTTATTCCTGCATTTGCTGGTAACATTCAGCTTAAAGTAAAGTTCAGTAGCGACGCCTTACAATGCACATCTATATCTGTAAATGATATCATTGCTTTCAATCCAACTCTTAAAGTTGCATTTGCTTCAGATTCAAATCCACCGACAAATAAATTTGTTCCATGGAATGAACCATTCACTATGATAACGAAGGCAGTAGAAGCTAGTGGAACAGTTACTATTACAACTGTAAACCAGCAACTATTTCGAACAAAGATGGATTTTAATGAATGTTTCATTCATCCAAAGTCATTCTCTTTAGACCCTAACATTTATACAGAACTTGTAGAACATTATACAAACGAGGCTTTATGTTTTCCTGTTAAAGTTATGGATTGGATTCCTATGGACGGTTCATTCTCAAAGAATACAGATAGTTCAAGTGCAACATTTACAGCAGCTTATACGCCTATTAATGTTAAAAGTATTTGGGCACTATTTAGAAAGAAAGACAACTATTATGTTAATTTTGAGAACCCTAAGTTTAAATATCTTCAGCTTTCCATGGGAGCTTATGGAAATATGCCTGCAGAACCTGAAAAATCATATGGACCTGTATTTTATGAAATGGTTGCGAACGCTTGCAATACAAACAATGATATGATAGGATTTAATGAAGATGTTATGAGGTCATTGGTGGATGATGGTAGTGTGGAACATAAATGGGATAGCTATGACAACACACATTTCTTATGTGGTTTTCCAACAGAAGTGGACTTTTGCTTCCAGCAAGGTCAAACATCTACTGCTCCAATAACATACAAATTGTCTGTTAAAGGACCTATTGAACTAGCAACTGAAAATGTACCAAAGCCACTTATTGGATTTATGAGGGATTGTTGCTTTGCAATACAAGTAAGACAGTCAGGCATACCAATAATAAGACTTGACGACTATAACTTAGCAACTGACGACAGTGAGGAATAAAGGATGAACGTTTATTTTTAAAGCTTATAAATGAGTTCTTCATCAAGCTCTCGTGAACCTTCACCATCTGTGAAACAAACTTTACCAAACGATTATGGAGCACCTATTGAATATTTCTTACGAGCTGCACAATGGCAAAGAGCAGTTTCACCAAGGTTAGGTGTTCCACCAGCTCCTGTCAAAAATAGCATTTGGTCAAGTCCTTATATAAGATATGGTCTCCCACTAGGTTTGCTAGCTACAGCAGGAGCAGTTATGATGTTGAAAAGAAATAAAGCAAATGTTATAAATAATACTGAAGTAGCTGAAGTTAAACAAACTCCAACACCTTCGTCAAAACCAACGCCTTCACAAGCAAAACCTTCAATGACTCCTGAACCTATGGAAGTACAAACTCCTGTTCAAAAGTCAACTCCTAAACCGACTCCAACATTTAAACCAGAACCTACGCCTCAAATAAATCGTAAAACTCCTGCGTTTCCTTACTGAAAAATAACGTTATTTTTATTTTATTTGAACATTTTTATTTGATTGAAATGACGACTAAAGTCACTGAAGCAATGAAACAAAAGTTTTTGGTAGAATACATTAAATCAGGAATTATTCCAGAAGGTTTTTACATTCATACTATGAAGGATGGTAGAGTTCAGTTTAGAAAGATAAAGCAACCATTAGATAGAGAAGGAATTTTGAGAAAGATTAAACTTCATGAGGACAACATTGCTGAACTTAAGAAGAAGTTAGAAGAGTTGGAGAAAGGAAGAGAGTTATAAAGCAATGAATTCAACATGGTGAAAAAACAGGTGAAAAAAGAGGTGAGATCTCACCACTTCACCTAAATTTATTTTTCACCTCTGACAACGTTTATTTTTTATTTTATTTTATTATTTAGCGAGAACGTTTATTTTTATATAAATGACAGAACAAAAGCAACTCATACAAATCGAAAAATATAACAAACATACATTTAAACATTTATTCTTCCTTCCTGAGCATAACATGTTCTTTCAAATACATCCGAGACCAGTTGACTTTTCATTGACTGTTTATAAAGATAGAAATAGTTATATCATTAAACCATACGATGACGAAGGTAAGTTATGTAAATTGTACGTTAAGAAGTTAGAGAAAGTTTATGGCTTCAAGTATGACTACAATAGGGTTAACACTGATGATGAAGATATTGAGGAAAATTTATGAGAACATTAGTGAAGTCGTTAGTGAGAACGATAGTGAGAACGTTTATTTTTACAGTAGTGAAGTCGTTTGTGAAAACATTAGTGAGGTGAAGTGGTTGGCGGTTTTGTAAATATTTAAGGTTAAGTTAGTGTTGTCGTTTGTGTTGTAAAAATATACGTTAATGTTAAGTTAGTGTTGTCGTTTGTGTTGTAAAAATATATGTTAATGGTTTTGTAAATATTTAAGGTTAAGTGGTGTACGGAGGCGCGCAGTGCCTCAGTACACGACTTAGCCATACTAACTAAAGAAACTAGAATATGACAGACACACAAAGAAACTCAATGAGTTAAACGTAGAGAAAAAGAAGAAAGAAGAACAACTGAAAGAACTAAGTACAGAGGAATATGCGAAAAAAGTGTCAGAAAAAGCAGCAGAAGTAGCAAAAATGGAACAAGATGTTATAAATTTGAAAAACCATACTACTCAATATAAAGTACTGAAAGATGAAGAGATAAAACAAAAAGCCATGAAGACATATATGGATAGCGATGAGTATAAAAAAGAAGTTGAAGCAAATGTAAAGGCAGAAAAACTTTTACAGTTGCAAAACCAAACCGTACAGTATGAAAACTTAGCACAAGAAAGTAAAAATAACGACGCAGCCATGCAAAGGGCAATGAAAAGCGCAGAATATATAAAAGCTAATAATGACTGGTTAGATGCCCAAGCCAACGCCAAAGCAGCCCAACTTATAGGGTCAATAAGGACAAAAATACAAGCGGATGAAGACAGTTCAAATGAAGCTTTAATGAATGCTGACTTTAAGAACGCCTTCGAAGCTCTTCATAGTAAGGTGAAACTAGTGAACGACTTCTCATCTGGAAAGAAAATGAAGTCTGAAGGTTTCGACAAAGAGTTAAGAGAAGTAGCACAAAATATGACGAAAATAACAGATGCAGCAACGAGACAGGCAGTTCAAAGTGCCTATGACGCCGTTAGAGCAACTGTTGTGGAAAGTCAAGAAAAAGAGTTACAACAGACCAAAACAGACCTAGTAAATGCTTTCTTAAAAACGAAAAGTCAGGTAGGACATTATGCTGCAGATGGAACATATGTGCCAGCTGGTGGAACTTATATACCACCAAACCCTCCAAGAGAAGCACCTGCACCAGGACTACCTAAAACATTTACATCGTCACATGGACACAGACACAGGCATGCACCAAAACCAACACAACAACCAACACAACAACCAACAGTTCAAAACACTGCACCACAACCAACAGTTCAAAACACTGCACCACAACCAACAGTTCAAAACACTGCACCACAACCAACAGTTCAAAACACTGCACCACAACCAACAGTTCAAAACCCTGCACAACAACAACCACAAACAGAGCAAGGACATAAAAGAAGTAGAGAACAAGGAAACCAAGAATTCTTAAAAATGCTTAAGGAAGACTATGGTTACCCAGATACTCTTGACTTTAGTGACAGATATAAAGAAGCTATTAGAAAGTTCAAGGAAGGAAATACTGACCCGAACCTATTTAGCTTTATGGTTCAGCACCAAATGGGATATAATTTCAAACCTGGAAAATACAAGCTCGCTAAGGGATATGATTTAATAGCATATCATCCAAATGACATGACTGAATTTACTCCGAGATATTTAGTGTCAGAGCTAAATGATAATTCAACTCTCTTCATGAAACGCGTAAAAAATAGAGACGGAACGAAAGAAGAAAGGTTTATGAGTCCGGATGACTTAGATAGGGAACTTTTTAAAAACGGTCTCGGAATATATGAAATGCCAGCAGATGAGGTACAAGAAACTCCACAGGAAGAAGTTCAGATACAACCAGACATGGAAGAAATAGTTCAGCAACAACAGCTAGAAGAGCCTGAAGGAAACGAACAAGTCCCTCCTTTGGAAACTAACTTCACAGAACTAGATGAAGATTTGGAACAGCCGAAAAATCTTGACCCTCAACAAGTGTATGCGGGGAATATGGAATCTTTCCAAGAGTCTAAGAAAAATTCGGCTGACATAGTAGAAGAATATCGAAAAATGTTCGCCGACATACAAAAGACTCCAACATCAGATGAAAATATTCAGCATAGAATGGAAGTACTGAAAGAAAATGTACGCAAATACAACAATCCTTTTTACTTACGACCATATAACGTTCAATCTTGGCTGAACTCGGTGAAAATAAAAGGTTAAATTTCACCAAAACATATAGAAATGAAACATTGTTTAAAGTTCATTCAGAACCTAACCAATATGGAAACAAACCTACTTTTGTTTCTGCAGACTATGGAACTACAATGAGATGGGGTCATAAAGCTAATCCGGATAGGTGGTTTCATAAACTTACAACCACAATTCCAAGAAGTTGTAGACGCAATGGAAGTGAATGGTGAACCAGATATAGCTGGTATTTTCAGCGCGGCTTTAATGCCATTGAAAGATATGAAACATGCAGATATTTTGGACCAGTATGAAATGAACATGGCTGATGGAAATATAACACCTGACGTTCTAGAACATTTATCTCAAAGAACTACACAGAACCATAGAGATGGTATATTTGGTGAAGAGTTTAGAAAGAAAGTTAGGGAGAGAGAAGGAAGAGAACCTATTGTACATGACCTTGCAAACGAAAGTTTACAAAATGTCATAAAAACTTACTTTGCAGACAATGAACTGAGAAGGGATGAATATTTAAGAAAACTCAAATGGACAGTACCAAATGAAATGTTAGTATTGAAAAACATGTTCCTTGACAAAATAAAACCAACTACAGAAATAAATGACGCAAGACTGAAACATTGGGTAAAAGCTTTCCCATTCACAAAAGATATTATTGGTTACATGGAAAGAAAACCAGAATGGCTACAAAAACATATATTTGGAAACGAGCTTATTCCATATGGACAAGCTATATTTGAAGAGCTTGAACCGGAAACTCAGGAAAGAGTCATGCAAACAATACGCGAAGACTCAAATACAAACTATGACAAAATCTTTCTAAGATATAGGTTACCTGAGATGGGCGACCAGAGCCCAAAGGCAAAAAGGACATGGGAAATTTACAACATACTAGGTGAACATGAGGCAAAGATGCAACAACTTGAAGCAGAGGGCAAGTTACCAAAAGCGACACCAAAGAAGAAGAGTAGAACAAAGTGAAAGTAGTGAAGAAGTAACTTCATCTAGTGAAAGTAGTGGCAATGAAGGAAAAAGAAGAGTTAAAAACTCAGTCAGGAAGAAAGTAAAGCTTGGTCCGAGTGGGTTCTATTATGATATATAAATCCAACTATTCTATATTTTTACCCATATGAAATGTACGCCGCTCAGAATATAACGCCAACAGTTTTGGATGCCATGAACGGAAATGTTTCCGAATGGTATAACGAATGCGACAATGTCATTAGAAGGTCAGAAATAGTTCCTGGAACTTACGAATATACAACTGCTGTTTCTTATGGAAACGTAGGTGAGTTTGGAGAAGGTTCTTCAACAACAGTAGATATTGCTTGCGACAGGTTTCATATTATTTCTATTGACAACTCATTCTTATACGTGGAACAAGACATTGAAATAAAACCTTCTGCCAAGTTGTCTGACAAGAAAGGTTGCAATGGAATTTTCTATGTCGGATACCAATATGCTCCAGAAGTTTTCATGGAATATAAGATATATTCTAACTCTGACTTAGTTCAAACAGTAACATGGGCAAACTATGAATGGTTCGCTTTGAGAAACTCAGTACAACCACAAGCTAGAGAACAAACAGACCAGTATGCAAATATTGAGAAAATAAGAAGACTTGACCCTAACGTTCCAGGAGTTTATGTTAACCTTTCTGGTTCAGATGGAACTGCTGCCACTAAAGTAAAACTGAAACTTAGAGTTCCTTTGTCATCTTTCCTCATCTTCAGGTTTTTAAGATACTTGCCAAACTGGGCAGGAAAAATTTCTATTGAACTTACTCCAAGCAAAAATAACTTAGTCATTGCACCAACACAAGACCCATTCACTATTACAGACGTAAAGGGAACAAATCAAACATCATTCGCCGAATTTTGCAAAGACAAAGTTGACTTAGACTTTGGTTTCTCAAACTTCAACAATGAAGTAAACTATTATTTCAATGCTGCTGGAACTGCTTGGGACCCAGTTAAGTTTACATGCGAAAAATTTGAATGCAAGAGAATAGAAAGCAGACTTGCAGTCTATATGTTGGACCCAGATATTTCAAATGCTTTAGCTGCCAAATATATTGCAGTTCCACTTATGTTCCCTATACACCAAATATCTGTCAAAGACTTTGCAGGTGAAGTTGGAAACCAAAGTGCTGACCCAGGTGCAAGAACAGATATTGCTTTAACAACTGCAATGAAACATGCAGATACTATGTTTGTACTGTTCAGACGAACTATAAATGACTATTCTTGTTTCTACAACCCCGGTATTAAATATCATATAAACATAGATGGCAAATATTATCCAAGAGAAGAATATTCTACAGTTGAGGATATGAGGTCATACAACTTGACATTAGATGCTATGAACTTTAACAACAACTTCACAACAACCATTAACCCTGAAATGCAAAGTTCTATTATGCCATATATGAAAGTATGGACTCATACAGGAGGTCAAAAAACTCAATATACAAATGGAGACCGTTCAAACTTTTGGCTTGGCATTCCATTTGCTGACTCAGAAGACTTTATGGGTGGTATTTCAACTGTTGGTACTGTACAAATACAATATACTGGTGACAGAGACGGTCCAGATGAACTGAGAGCAAAGAAGTTTACAAAACCAATAGCACTTTTCACGGAAGATGCTCTTTTGAAGATTCGTTCGATGAAACCTGCTGGGGCTCCTCAGATTGGCATAACGACAGCTTCCATCGAGCAGATTTTGGCAGCAGGTCAGTAAGTTGTTCTTGAACTGACTTCTCTCCGTCAAATATTGACAGTACGCCAGTTTTGACATAATATTGTATTATAAACTTTCCTTTAGAAATATCTGTAAGTTTTGTTGTTATATTTTTGTCAACGTCAAGAACTTTCACCATCTCGGTTATACCAACTTTCTTTGCTTTATGAAAATATTTAGGTTCAGCAAAGACTGCTATTCTATAACATTTTCCATTGTTTGTGTAAAGAACTATTCTGTCAATGTATTTGTATTGTTTGTGTGTGTAAACTTTGTTCTGCTTCAATTCGAAGAGATACTCGAATACGTCCATCTTTTTATTCTAAGTAAAATGTCATTTCCGAAAAATAGAAGCGTGAGTGTTTCAAAAGGTTTAATGGCGGTGGCAGATGTGAAGTTAAATTCACCAACTCAAACAAACAGTCAAAGTGTTATTGTCAATGTCAAAGACAGAGATGTTGAAGTGGGGAAACCATACGAAGACGAAGATGGTATAACAATTGTTCCTGTAAAAGAACCAACATATCCTGAAGTTAGCAGAGACTTAAGTTCTGTTGCAGATATTCGAAACGACTACCAACAACTGAAAGACAAACTTCAAACTCAGGAGAAGATTTGTCAAGCTTTAAGTATAATGTTAAACTTGGTCGAACACAACCCTGTAAAAGTGAACTCATATGTCATTGCACCTCATGAAGTCTTGAAAGAACTATTGAAACTTTTGACAGAGGCAGACGATATAAACATCAAAGAAATAGAACCCGACATTAGTTGCTGTGGTGTTTCATATAATGTCATTGACAAGATATACGTTATGAAAGGAGGTGAAACGTTGAACTTAAAGTATAGTTTCCCAGACGTCATAAAAATATTTGACGACCACAACATTTCATTAAAGTTTATTTGCTAAGTAAATGGCAGAAGACATAATGGTTTATACTATTACAACTAAAAACCCTGAGTCATATAATTCTATAACAACAAACTTACAAAGTCCTCAAGGACGATATTGTAAACTAACCTTAAACACAATGACGACTAAAGCCTGTTTTGCTCTTTTGACACCAGAAGACTTTATTGTTGTGAATGGTAAAAAATACTCCTTTGAAGATACTTACTCAGATATACCACCAACAGGTTTTGTTGACTTATTTAATACTTTAAGTACGGGTGTAACATGTGCTGCAACTAGAGCAGGTTTCATTATGTTTGGATGTCCGACTGAGTTTACTATAAACGATATGAGCTATAATACAAAACTTATTTCTGGTTTTTACTACCAACAGTTTCCTATAACAGGAAAAGGTGTCATACAAGGAATGTCTATTCCATTGACATTAAGCACACCAATCTTATATATTGTTTCAAACTTAGGTTCAAAGTGTTATTCGAATGTCGACAGAAACTATTATGACCAAAAGATACTTATGCGTATAAACAATACTTTCTCTGCTGGTTTGCCTATTGTTCATTCGAATGCAGAATTTTCAACCTTAGTGAACTCAAACACTTTGGCAAGTATAACGTTGACATTAGTTGACGCAAACTTTGTTCCTGTAAAACTTTTATGTCCTATGTATTTGTCAATGACGGCAGAAAGTTTCGAATTGGAAGATGCAACTGGTGAAAGTATTGTATTACAAGAACAACTTCAACAACAAATAGCTCAAGAACAACAAATGCAACAAATGGAACAAATGCAACAACAAAGTCAAGAATAAAAAAAAATATTTTTTTATTTTTATAAAAATGTACAGAATAGATGTTTCAGATTTTTATGACTTCCAAGCATTCAGAAATATGTGTCCATTTCGAGACTATAACAAAGCAGTCGAGAATTTGAAACGTTTAGTCATTTATGTCGACTCTGCCCCAGAATGTTATGTTATGAAAGAATGGGATGTAGTCTTTAACAAACCTAAAGCGACAATAGTTTCAGAACAAGAATGTAGACAGAAACTTAAGAAAATAAAAGTCGTACAAGTTGGCATGAAGATGTTAGATGCTTGGGATATCTTATTGTCAAAGTTAGAAGATTTTTCAGTTCGAGGTATAAAGTTCTATACACCTTCTCCAAACTTCTATTCTATCTTCACTGGATATAAATACGAACAAGTAGAATGGAAAGAAAATATTATAGAAGCTTGGTTAGACCATGTCAAAGAAATTATATGCAATGGAAACGAAAGAGTCTATGAGTATATCTTATGTTGGTTTGCAAACATCTTACAACATCCAAGTGCTAAAAATGAAACTGCTCTCATTATAATTGGAAAGCAAGGAACTGGTAAGAACACATTCTTTACAGATATTTTGTGCAAACTGTTAGAGGGCTATTCGAACCCTAATATGACAAACTTAGAAAACATCTGCGGTAAATTTAACTCTTCAATTGAGAATATGAAACTTATAGTTTGCAATGAACTTCAAAGTATAGATACAACAAAAGTTTTAAACTCAGATGCTTTGAAGAGTCTTATAAACAGACAAAGTTGGAGTTGTTGAAAGAAAATATAAAGACCAAAGAGTTTGTGAAAATGTTGCAAACTTCATTATGGTTTCAAACAATGCTGTTCCGATGAAGTTAGAAAGTTCTGACAGAAGATATGTAGTTGTCAGAACGTCAGAAGCTCATATGCAAGATACAGAATATTTTGACGACTTAGCAGAAACTTTGACATCTGACTTTTACAACCACTTGTTCTCATATTTTATGACATTAGATATTTCAAAGTTCAATCCAAGACAAATTCCACATACCGAAGAGAGACAAACATTGTTAGAAGCAAACAAGAGTGTATATGAACTGTTCATAGATGAAACTGACTTTGAGTGTTTAGATGAAAGGTCATTGTACGATTCGTATAAACAATATTGTCAAGAATATGGTTATATGACAGCGTCTAAACGAACATTCTTGGCAAATGTCAAAAGTCTTTTAGATGTTCAGAATGGTGTATATACAAAGAAAATTTTTTCTGAGTAAATTTTAAAAAAAAATATTTTTTTATCCGATAGAAAAGATGGCAAAATTCATCTCAGTAAACAAGTACATGTCAGGACTTAAAGAAGAACTAGACCCATTCACATATTTGAATGTTTACTTCTACCATTTTGAAAAGTCTTCATTCAGCAAAGTTTGGAACATCGAACCAGTTAAGTTTGCTATTGTGACTAAAAATGGTGCGAAATTTGAAGACTTAGACATAGAAGGTTTGTTAGCAGTCAAAGAAAGTTTTGACAGAAGGTTCTCAAACCTTAAAGAAGGCAAAGCATACAAACTTGTTATACCTTATGAACCAAAGAAAGCAGACGACTATGAATATTATGAGTCTAAAGTTGTAGAAGTTCAAGGTAAATTGGGTAAAAAGATTTTAGAGTCTAAGCCAGTGTTTGCTCCTAAAGAGGAAGAGAACATTGACATTGACCCAGAAATGTTCTAAAAATAAAATTTTATTTTTACATGTCAAATTTCTTTTTCTCTGGAACTGGTTCAGGTTCTTTCTTCTCTTCTTCTACTTTCTTTTCTTTCTTTTCTTTCTTCTTCTTTTCTGGTGGAGTTATGTCAAATTTGGCGCAACTATATTTATGTAAAAGTTCTTTGTCCTTTAATAGCTCTTCTATTCTGTTTTCTATTTCATCTTCAAGAACAGCGCATGTGTCTTCTTTGCATTCTAAGAAGTTTTGTTGGACTTCATCTCTCCAAGAGGCGTCATCTCTGTCAACAAGTCTGTCATTGACAAATTTTAAGACTTCTCTGCTTAATGTTTTATGGTTCTTGTCATATTCCCAGAAACAGAACTTTAGAACAAATTCACCTTTCTTGTTTACACTATGTAAGATTTTATGGTCGACAGATGTTTTGCTGTCAAAAAGTTTGTCTCGAATATAGATAGCGAAATCGCTAGACATTTTCTAAAAATAAAATTTTAATTTTTCTAAAAATATGTTAGAAAAAAAGTTTGCTGACATTGACAAGAAATTTGAGAATGTTTTAAACAAGAACAAGAGGAAGTTAGAAAATGCTCAGATAAAGCCTATACATGACAAGTTCTTATTTGCTCAGAATGGTATAACAGGTCTAATTGCACCACCTGGGTCGGGTAAGACTTTCACTTATCTTAAAATGGCTGCACAACAACAAGAACTAGATGAGAAGAACCCATTTTATGAGTTAGTAGTCATTTGTAGTACTTCTGGTCAATTTGACCAAACCGTCAATTCGTTCAAAGATATTATAAAGAAGTCTAAGTTAGTATGTATAAAAGACTCTGAGTTGTTGGATTGGATAAAGAAGTACCAAAGAAGAGTTTTGAAGTATAATGCTATAAATGAGTATATAAATTCTAAGTTTAAAGACCCAAATGAGGAAATGCAGAGAATATTAGAGAAGAAACACTTCAGAAACAAACAGAAAGAGATAGAATACATTTCGAAGAAATTGCAATCTTACGATTGGAAGACATACCCTCATAGGTGTCTTCTTATCTTAGATGACTTTGCTTCTCATCCTTTGTTAAAGAATAGAGAACAAGATATGTGTCGAATTCTTAAGAAGCTCAGACACTTTAACATCTCAGTTGTCATTTGTGTACAGACAGCAAAGAGTTTAAGTAAGGATGTTAAAAGAATACTTACTGACATTATACTTTTCCCCGGATTGTCCGAAGACGATTTCATGGAACTTATGAAAGAGTCCATGGCAGGTAAGTTTGACAGATATGAACTATGGGAGAAGTACAAAGTCATACAAGACCCTCATACTTCTTTCAGAATTCATATCTACGCAAACAAAGTTCAAATTGTAAAAAGTCAAGCTTGAAAAATGTAAGTGTTCATTTACTCTACTTGTTTGAAGTTGTCAAAATACTCTGTTATTTTTCACGATTTTCATGAGTTTTAGGCGACCCAGAAAAAAGTCGGTCTCGCTGTTCTTCACTGTTTTCATAGAGTTTTGGCGACTAAGGTTTCTTACCTACTCGCTGTTCTTCACTGTTTTCATAGAGTTTTGGCGACTAAGGTTTTTTACTTACTCGCTGTTCTTCACTGTTTTCATAGAGTTTTGGCGACTAAGGTTTCTTACCTACTCGCTGTGCTTCACGATTTTCATAGAGTTTTGGCGACTAAGTTTTTTTACTTACTCGCTGTTCTTCACTGTTTTCGTACGGAATCTCTTCTCTCGGTTTTCCGAGGGAAGCAATCTTATGCCATTTTACTCAGATTTTTGTGCTGAATTCAGCAAAAATAATGTTTAGGGTAGAAGGTTAGATCTCACCTGTTTTCTCACCTCTTTTCTCACCTCATGAATTTTCATGATTTCATCGTACATGTTTTGTCAAGACTTCTTCGTACATGTTTTGTCAAGACTTCTTCGTACATGTTTTGTCAAGACTTCTTCGTAAATGTTTTGTCAAGACTTCTTCATCGTAATGAACGTATATGTTTTGTCAAGACTTCTTCGTAAATGTTTTGTCAAACATGAACGTATATGTTTTGTCAAGACTTCTTCATCGTAATGAGCGTATATGTTTTGTCAAGACTTCTTCGTAAATGTTTTGTCAAACATGAACGTATATGTTTTGTCAAGACTTCTTCATCGTAATGAGCGTAAATCAGACAAAAATATATTTTAGGGTAGATGGTTAGATCTAACCTGTTTTCTACCCTCTTTTCTACCCCAGTTATTTTATAAGCGTTTTACATGGTATATGTTGCGATGGTTCATGACTCTAAACAGTTTTGTAGCCTCTATTTCTTCTTTTAGTACATCGAATGTTTTAACAATGCCGAAGGTTTCTTTATATTTCTTCTTGACGTCAGATAGAAGGAAATCTTCTGCTGTTGGATAGTTTTTGTCAAGACTTCATTGTAAATGACCAAAAATATATTTTAGGGTAGATGGTTAGATCTAACCTCATTTCTACCCTCTTTTCTAACATGGTCTAAAACACACAAAACTCGTGAAATTTCAAGACTTCATCGAACTTAAATGTTTTTGTCAAGACTTTGTCATATGATTGCTTCTCTCGGTTTTCCGAGGGAAGAGATTCCATGTTTTGTCAAGACTTCATTGTAAATGACCAAAAATATATTTTAGGGTAGATGGTTAGATCTAACCTGTTTTCTACCCTCTTTTCTACCCCAGTTATTTTATAAGCGTTTTACATGGTAAACGTTATGAATTCGTGAGACTCTAAACAGTTTCGTAGCTTCTATTTCTTCTTTTAGTACATCGAATGTTTTAACGATACCGAAAGTCTCTTTATATTTCTTCTTGACATCAGATAGAAGGAAATCGTCAGCAGTTGGATAGTTTTTGTTCAGAAATTCTAACATGTCCATTTTATCTTCTGCTGGTTTTTCTGCTTCTTTCTTTAAGTCTGCATAGTCGTTTCTCATACGTTCTATCTCTTTGACGGAGTAGTTATATTTCCTCATTGCTGCTTTACATTTAGAACATTGCGGGTTCATTTTTGCGTTATATTCTGAAACCTTACCAGCTAAAACAACTAAAGCGTCAATTGCTCTCTTCATCTCAAACATAGCGGGTCTTATTTGTTTGTTCCATACTTTGCCTCTTCTATCTTTATCTCTTATCTGCCATACACATTCAGCAACTAACGAAACAAAGTTGTCGTAGGTCTTAAATTCTTCAGATTTATATATGTCAGAAACATTCTTATATACCATATCGCAATCTTTGTCCATAACCTTATGGTTGCAATGAAATCCTAGAAACTCATAGTTTACCTTTCGTATGAACTTCTTTATTTCTACTGAGTCAGTTGGTTTCACTTCTATTTCATCGAATTCAGGAATAGTGAGTTTTTGTTGTTGGATTTCAGGCAATTTGGGTAAATGGTCGATGAGGTCCTCCATTTCATAAAGATACTGTTCATTTGTTTCATCTTTCGCACTACAGTCTAAATTACATGTTAAAAGTTCTTGCTTTATCTTCTGGATTTCTGTTTCAAAAGTATATGAAGAAGGAATGAAGCTTTTCATCTCTACCAACATTGACGTAGGATTCATGACTAACGAGTTTGGTGCTGTAGTTGTTTGTATTGCTGTTGTGCCGATTGTTGACATTTTTATTTTTTTATACAAAATAAAAAAAATAAAAAAAATAAAAAAAATAAAACTAACTTTATTTTTTATTTCGGGAAAATTCATGAAAATTCAAGAGGGTAGAAAACAGGGTAGAAAACAGGTTAGATCTAACCATCTACCCTAAATTATATTTTTGGGTCCTTTACACTCATTACGAAGAAGTCTTGACAAAACATTTACGTTCATGTTTGACAAAACATTTACGAAGAAGTCATGAAAATTCAAGAGGGTAGAAAACAGGTGAGAAAACAGGTTAGATCTAACCATCTACCCTAAATTATATTTTTGGGTCCTTTACACTCATTACGAAGAAGTCTTGACAAAACATTTACGCTCATTACGATGAAGAAGTCTTGACAAAACATGTACGATGAAATCATGACAAAACATATACGAAGAAGTCTTGACAAAACATTTACGATGAAATCATGACAAAACATTTACGCTCATTACGATGAAGAAGTCATGAAAATTCAAGAGGTTAAAAAACGTGTTAGATCTAACCTCTTCACCTAAACATTCTCGTCAAATACAAAAAAATGACACTTTTTCATTATATAACTGTTATTTTTTGACGAAGTGAAGGTTTGCACTTCGTCAAAAAAATCCCTGAAATCATATCTTTTATACAAAAAAATACAAAAAAATGACACTTTTTCATTAGATAACTGTTATTTTTTGACGAAGTGAAGGTTGACACTTCGTCAAAAAAATCCCTGAAATCATGTCTTTTATACAAAAAAATACAAAAAAATGACACTTTTTCATTAGATAACTGTTATTTTTTGACGAAGTGAAGGTTGACACTTCGTCAAAAAAATCCCTGAAATCATGTCTTTTATACAAAAAAATACAAAAAATGACACTTTTTCATTAGATAACTGTTATTTTTTGACGAAGTGAAGGTTGACACTTCGTCAAAAAAATCCCTGAAATCATATCTTACATACAAAAAAATACAAAAAAATGACACTTTTTCATTAGATAACTGTTATTTTTTGACGAAGTGAAGGTTGACACTTCGTCAAAAAAATCCCTGAAATCATATCTTACATACAAAAAAATACAAAAAAATGACACTTTTTCATTAGATAACTGTTATTTTTTGACGAAGTGAAGGTTGACACTTCGTCAAAAAAATCCCTGAAATCATATCTTACATACAAAAAAATACAAAAAATGACACTAACTTTATTTTCTGACTTTCACAAAAGACCAAAAATAAACGCTTTACATGTATTTTTCAGCAACTTCGTCAAATAATTTTATAGCTTTATCTATCTCATCTACTTCAAACGTTTCTTTACCTTTCGTGGGAGCACCATACATTTTCTCAAAAACTTCAAGCAGTTCTGTTTCTGCAGCTCTCATATCATTAACGAACACAACCTTGACTCTATTGACTGTACTGTCATATCTTTGAGTTATATTATATGTTCTTCCTATCTTATATCTCTTTGTATTGAAGTCCTTCGGTTTCTGAACGATGTAAAGTAAGCCTTCACTGCAACGTTCCGTATCGAATGAACCATATGTTATGAAGTTATATCCAACAACTGGGTCTAACCATAACAAAACTATTGGTATAAGACTTTTGTCAATGAGATATGCTGTAGTTCCATAGAATCTTACCGATATTATAAGCTCAGGATTTCTTGTCAAAATTTTCTGAGTAGAAGCAATTCTAACCCAGTCCTTCGGTCTCTTTCCAGATGGAGATAAAATGTCTGACAAAGAATATTTGTTGTATTTCTTTGAGTATCTTACGTTTAAATCACCTATTCTAACCACTTTAGTGTCATTGTCTATCTTTTTAACTGTTTCAAACTCAATGTTTGTCATATATGTTCTTACATACAAAATAAAAAAATAAATAAAAATAAAACTAACTTTATTTTTTCTATCTTAAGGAAATTCATGAAAATTCATGAGGTTAGAAAACAGGGTAGAAAACAGGTTAGATCTAACCATCTACCCTAAATTATATTTTTGGGTCCTTTACACTCATTACGAAGAAGTCTTGACAAAACATTTACGAAGAAGTCATGAAAATTCATGAGGGTAGAAATGAGGGTAGAAAACATGTTAGATCTAACATGTTAACATAAATTATATTTTTGGTCCGGGAACAACTTTCTCTCAATTGGAGCTATGGCATACTCTTTGCGTAAACGGTTCAGACCTTCTTCGAACTCTTGGTCTCTCTTCGATTTGGATTGAGATTGGAATTGCTGGGGTGGAGCTTGCTGGAACATCCAAGGGTTGGGGAAGTAAGGCATAGGCAGAGGAGGGTAGTTCGGGAAGCCTTGTGGTGGGTAGTAACCTTGAAGTGGAAATTGGTAGAAATTTGGTGGAGGTACTTGCTGGAACTGAGCTTGCTGAGGAGACTGTTGTGGTTCTTTAGGTTCCTCTGGTTTGGGAATGGACTGGGTTGGTGGGACGTGGGACATTCGTTTGTGTCCTGTCAGAAGGAAGAACTTTTCCTGTTGGAAGGAAAAACTTTTTCTGTCGGAAGGAAAAACTTTTTCTGTCGGAAGGAAAAACTTTTTCTGTTGGAAGGAAAAACTTTTTCTGAAGTTCGACCAAAAAGTTCTCAATTTTCGAAAATTTGAATGGTTTACGGACGGACAACTGGAAAAATTTTTTCTGTCGGAAGGAAAAATTTTTTCTGTCGGAAGGAAAATTTTTTCCAGTTGTCGGGAAAATATTTTCCTGTCGGATGGAAGGACTCGGAATGCCAGAAGGATTTGACGAGGCAATTTACCTAATTGAAATTAACGAGCTTGTTAAAGACTACTTGCGCAAGGTCATGAAGCCCAAGGTCAAGTTCACCACTATTTCTGGAAGGGCTGTCTTGAATCTCGAGACTTCGACTGGAATTCCAATTCAAATACCAGAAAACACTCCTTTCGACGACATAAAGCAAGCAAAGAAGGAAGCCATTATAAAGTTCTTTGCCAAGCGTCCTTGGATACTACTTCCAAACAAGGAGAACCCCCTACCCATATGAAATTGGCAATTCAGTCTCTCCTTCGCTTCTCGGGTCAGCCGTTCTACATAACCTGTGAAGGCGACATCCAACCAGTTCAGTAAACCTTAACGTTTAACTTCACTTTTTTATGTTTTTTGTGAAAGTGTCAAAAATAAATTGTTTTCATGAGTTTTCTACGATGTTAGAAAAGTGGTTAGAAAACGTGTTAGATCTAACATGCTAACATAAACTTTATTTTTCAATACTTTTTCAGCACTTTTCCGTAGTTATATATGAAAGACAATTCGAGATAAAAGTCATAGTACAATGGAATAATATGTTGCACACCATTTGTTGTGAACCAAACTTGAAAGTCAGAGAAACTGTTACTAGGTGGTTCGTAGAATTTAGAAGCAAAGTCATAAAAGTCCTTACCAATACATAGAAAACTATTGTTGCTTGAACTGAAACTTGCATGACACATAACATTTTGAGGGTCAAACACGTTTCTATAAACTGTCAAATCTGCTGGTGGAAGTATAAATTGAAATGGACCATCTGGTGGTAATGGTTCGTTCTGGTTTAGTAACCGAAGAAATTGTGCCCAAGAACGTTTGTCTACTTTCCAAAATAAAAACTCTGTATCTCTTGGAGGGTTAATTTCAATCTTTTGAAATGAAACGGTGGAGTTCATCTTGTCATATTCTAGTTTCAGATAGTATGTTCCATTTAGTAAAGAGTCGTATTTTTCTTGAAATTCCCAATAATATTTGTTCATTTGAGTTTGAAAGTCATTTAGAGTTTTCTCAAGACTTTCGTCTGAACGAACTGTAAAGATTCTCATTTCGTCAAATTTGTCTATTAGACCATCAGAACCTTTATACTGCCCATGAAAATATACTGCGAACATAAATGCGTTAGTTCTATTTGAAAACAAAACTCTTCTAAATCCTATTGCCTTTGCATCTGAAGGACTTTGAAGCCAACGAATTGGATAGTCAAACCTGTATACTCGGGATGAAATTTCTTCATCTGAAATAGTCCTACCAGCATTTGTAAAGATATAGTCTAACGGTTTTGTATCTGCTACTTTTGTTCTTTGTTTTTCAACCTGAAGCATTTAATATATGTAAAAATATATTGTTTTAAAATGGTATGCCATTTCATATTTCTCATCTAACAAACAAGTTTCCCAACGGTCTTCTCCAACAAACTCAGCGTACATTTCAAATAAAATTAAAAAATGTCACTTTTTTAAAAATAAATTTTTACTTCATGCAATGTTCACTAACATCGAAAGGCATGTCCATAAGACGTTCTTCTTCTAACCTCTCTAGTCTGTTTGGATAATTTGCACGTGCTGTTTCCAAATCCATTTCGTAGCGAAGACCAGACAATTTGTCATAGACTTTTATGGGTCTTCCCTTCCTATATTTAAACTTCTTCGAAACTCTCCAACCATATCTTTGTAACTCTGCTTTTATTCTAGCAGACTTTTCTATCCATTCTATATGGGGGCATTTTTATAAAAATAAAAAAATATTTTTTCTTTACTTTACATAACCGCCTGCTGCCAAGTCTTTGACGCCAACCCATACCAGCTAATGAAGGTTGACTTGGTTTAGTTTCCAAACTAAACTTTGGTTTTGGTTTATCTTCAGTTTTTGGTTTTTCGTCACTTTTCGGTTTCTCTGACTTTACTTCACTTGCAGGAACAGTTGTGTCGTCAACATCTTCATAAATATCATATGCCATTTGTTTTTGTTTTCCTTTCAACTTTTTGTGTTTGTTGTAAAGTTTAGAATATTTCGACTCTAAGTCAATGAGATGTTCTATAATGAACTGTTGGTCAGTGAAGTAAACTTTTCCATCTGTTGTCTCGAAAGCTCCTTCAGACTTCAATATTTTATTTGTGAGAGTCTGTTTCTTTTTTGAGATACTTGCCGTTCCATTTTTATGAAAAGTGACTTTGTAGTTAGGGTTTGTATTTCCAGACCTGGCACTTTCTATTATTGAATTTTCTCTTCATCTGTAAGTTCTTTGACAGGTTTTGACAATGGTTCTGAACTTTTTGTTTGTGGTGTCAAATCTACCGTTTCAACTTCTTCGGTCATTTCATCTCAGTAAAAAAATTTAGTTTGGTTTGTTTTCAACTGGTTGTTGTTGTTTTAAGTCGGTCTAAAACTTCCTGAGGTATAGGAAGAACTTGACAAACACGTGGTGTAACTGCTGGAAGCCGACAAATCCATCTTGAACCCATTTGTCTCAATGCTGTATTGTTCATTTCATCTCAGTAAAAAACTTTACATTCCCCACGTTTGAGGCGGTTGAGGTTGGTTATTGTTTACCCATTGTTGTGCATGGTTATATCCTCTGTTAAAGAATCTTTCACCTTGGTCCATATAGTGTCCTGCTTGGTTATAGTAGTCATTTGCTTTGTTATAATAGTTTCCTGCTTGTCTTCCTACATTGTCCATCCATCCTTGAACTTTTCCTCTTGTTTCAGGATTTGGAATAAGATTTGTTGCATCTCGTGCTACATCCCAACCTTTCTGTACAGTTTGTATAATAGGTTGTGCTTTCTCTTTAAGTATACCTAATGTACTCAAAATCTTCCTTCCAACTCCAAATACACCTCTGGCTATTGTTCCCACTGCGGGCAAAAATCTGGATGCAACTCCTGCTAATGCGCCAAATAAACCCATTTCTTATAGGATAAAAAATGACGAATCCAAACAAGGACCCCTATGTTTCTAAAGCAACAAAGAAAGCACTCATGATAAAAATCTTTAGTTCAACACCAAATGCTTGGTTTATGGATATCTTGGAAAACATTCCGAGGTATAGAGAAGATGGACCACCATACTGGTTAATATTTGTTGGTCAAAACAAGATACTGTGAAGCCATACCATTATGGTCCAAAAATTTTTTAGATGTGAAAACTGCTTTGACAATATTCGTTGACAAATACCATCCAACAAAACTGACATCTGACTGTGAAAGTTCTTTCAAATCAGATGATGTAAAAACTATCTGCGTTCAAAAAATGTAAACAATATTTCATTGTCGACCAAAACCATTCTGCTCTTGGTGTCATTGACGGTTGTATAAAAATGTTAAGAGACTTAAACCAACCACAAGGTGGTGAAGCAAATGAAATGTCATATGACGACAAGTATAGACACTTCTCCATGGCAAAGATGAGACAAGTTTTAAATATTTACAATAACCGTAAACAAAAAGGTTTGGGAAACCACTCCCCGAAGAAATGAAAAACAACCCTGACTTAGAGAAAGACTATATATTTAATAATTTAGTCAAAAGAGACAAACAAGAAAGAATGCCGGGCTTCAAACTTCAGAAAGGTGACAAAGTAAAAATAGAAATACCTAAACGCGACCCATATGAAAATACTATTGACTATGACAACAATGGGAACCCGACAGGTACTCACATTCGTGTTCGTAAAAATAGAAGAAAGTATACAAGAGAATATTATGAAGTTTTAGGCAAACATGGCAAAATGTACACACTGCAAGCAGAAGATAAAACTACTATTGTCAGACCTCGTTTCAAACTTGTCAAAGTTCAAGGTGGTATACTTTCAAAGACAGTTCCTAACAAATATAAGACAACTCCTGACGAATATGCTAAAGAAGTTGAAAATGACGACTAAGCAATTATATACCATGCGTAAACTGTCATGTAAGGTGGCATGTAGTCTTTACTTTGTCCCGTTGGATTTGTTGTGAAAGTATGGACATGATTTCCTCCTGGTTCAGTTGGTCGAAAAGTCTTTTTTGCTGAATGGTTATAATCTGGAGATAAAACGTCATTGCCAGCATAATATTCTGAGTTGTATAATGGGTGGTCTCTTAATGAGTGGCTATGGTCGCCAGAAAAGTTTGTAGTTCCTGTATGAGTGTGCGGTGGAAGGTTTGCTTCTTTAATTTTCTTCGAACCACCTGTTTCCTTTGAAGAGTTTGCACAATACAAAAACCTGTCGACTATTTGTTCCCATGCACCAACACCAAACATTACTTGAGGACCTCTTGCATCCATAGATGTATAAATAGAACCTACTGGGTTCATTAAATCAAACATATGAGATATTATAGGATTGTCTCTTTTGAACTTAAAATATAGTGCAACTATTTCAGGTTTCTTCTGGTTTGTGTCAGAATATTTTTTATAATATAATCTTATGTTTTCAGGGTAGGTAAAATCTTGACTATAATATTTATTTCTGTCATCTATATAATAATATACTATTCTCGTTTTTTCTATTGCATTATATCTTTTATATCTATAATAATCTAAATATAATGTTTGCTTTTGTTCATCTGCATGTAGTGTTCCTTCGTCATCTACATAGTCATAATAATATGGTGCTGGAGCTGGGTCAGGCAATGTCATATCTGCCATTTCATAAACTCGGAAATATTTCTTTTGTTCGTCTCCATATAAGTTTAAGTAGCAGTTGTTGTCTAATGGAACTTTAACTTGTGTACCATTATTCTTTATATAGCTTACATACATTTCATTGTTATTTTTCGGAATGAGTTTATACCGTATACCATTTTTTAAGGAATGTACAAACTGCCATCTAAAATATTTATTTTCTTCATTGAAAGAAAAGTCACCAACAATAGTTTCAATATTTTTTGTTGTTCCTATCAAACTTTGGTATATTCCGTTGACATATGTTTTATCTGCTTTCTTTTCAAGGCTAACGTTTAAGTCTGTTATTTCAGATATAGAATGTGTATGTCCAACGGCACTTTTCCTGTTTAAGGTTTCTTGTAAGTCTGTTATTTCAGATATAGAATGTGTATGTCCAACGGCACTTTTCCTGTTTAAGGTTTCTTGTAAGTCTTTTATTTCAGATATAGAATGTGTATGTCCAACGGCACTTTTCCTGTTTAAGGTTTCTTGTAAGTCTGTTATTTCAGATATAGAATGTGTATGAGTCTTTTTAGAATATTCGTTTTCAGCTCTTGTCACTTCACTTGACATTTTATTGTCAACATATGTTTTGTCTGCTAGTTCAGGATGAGTATGTTCTTTTTGCATAAGCATTGTTAGCTCTTTCTTCTTCTTTTGCTATTGCATCGTCTACATATTCTTTGTCAGCTTTGTTGTCAACATCTGCTTTCAAAAGAAGTTCATTTATAGGTTTCTCGTTTAAAGTTCCTTTTGTTGGATTTATACAGACAGTATGGTTCTTATTGTCTTGAAACAGAAACTCATCTGTCATTGGGTTTAATGTCAGTTTTAAGTTTCCTTCTTTCAATGACTCAGATATCTTAGAATAGTTTGAAAAGTTTGTTGTGTTCTTATTTAGAGCTTGCATAATGAGTTGTCGGTTGTGTTGTATTTCTCTCATGGAAGCAATATCTTTCGACATTTTTATTCTAGATAAAATATGCTTTCAATAGAAAAAGAAAATTCAAGAGTTGCTACAACTAAACCATTAGATGAACTTTTTACTAATGTCGGTCAAAAGTTTGAGACAGAGACCGTAAAGCATGAAGGCTATCGTTTTGACTACCCATTAAGATGGCTAAGAGACCCATCTGTCACAAAAGCTATTGGCTTTCGTAGAATGAAGTTTGTGTCTGTAGAAGATAAAAGTTTTCCATTTATTGTAAGGTTTCATATAGATTATATATCTGAAGGGAAACGAAAAATGTGGGAAGAAATTGAGCTAATACAAGTTGACCTTTCATCTTCTCTACAGACTGCGTTAAAAAATATAGAAGATAAAATAAATTCATGTTATGCAAAATATGCTGATGAATATGCAAATACCGAGAGCACACTTTATGTGAGAATTGTATATGACAAACAAAATTCACAAGTGTCATTTCAAATCTACGAAAACAATCCAAATAAAGACGAACAAATATATACAGAATTCACTGCAATGTCATGGTATTTTTGCAAAGAATGTTAAATCAGAAAGTCGAACTTCCTTTAGCAAATATTTACAGTCGATATGCAAGAGATGAACCATATTTATTTAAAGATGTTTTCGACCAAGATGCTATTATTGTTCATGCTTCATTTTCTGGCGCCCAAAACTCTTTCTTATGCTTGGCAAATGACTTTTACGAAAAACCTACAAAGTTATACGAACCACCAAGTGGAAGTATTTCAGACTTTCAAGTATGGTTTACTACAGATGGAAGAAAAAGAATAATTTCATTATACCATGCGTTTTACTTAGAACTTAGTTTCATATACAACTACTATCGAACGGTAAAAATATAATTTTTAATACGGTTGAGGTGTTGGATTTGGTTGCCAACTAGACTGTGGTGCAGGTTCAGGCTGTTGTATTACAGGAGCTTGCTCTTCTGGTTCAGGGTCTTTAGGTATAATACCAACGAACTGACCTACTCTTTTACCAATATTTTTGACACCGTTCCAAATTCCTCTTCCGACAGATTTTATTCCATTCCATATACCTCTTCCAACATTTCGAAAGAAGTTTCCTATTCTTCCAAAGAAACCCATTTTACTAGTAGTAAAAATCTAATGTCCACCTAGTCTCTTACGTTTCCTGTTGAGTTCCATAGCATTCTTTAACTGGAGCTCATACATTCTGTTTCTCCTCTGGTAGAAAACATATTCTGGGTCAACTCCTGTGTTCGCGTCATCTGCATAAAGTTGTTTATATCCCACTTCAGGGTTTGTATAAAACTCTTTCCATCTCATATTTGCATACCATGGTGGCAAACCTAACGCAGCGTCATTTGACATGGCAGTTTGCATTTGTACATCTGTTGGCACTTGACCATAGTTTGCCATTGCAGTTTGTATTCTAACTTCATTTGGAATATTCTCTGGGTTTGGTTGTCCAGGTTGTTGTGCATTCGCTAAGTTCTGTGCGTCCATTTAATATTAGATAAAAATATCTCTTACGAGTACATATACTGAACATTTGCAGGCATTGGTTCATCTTCATATTCTCTGTACTTTTCTGCCACGTCAAATAAATAAATGACACAATGGAAAAAACCTAAAACAAGTAGTCCTATTTCAAACCACATTTACTTACTAATAAAATTTCTTTGTTATGACACTTTCTCCAGTTTATAGGACCTCTCTCATATTCTATCTTGTCATATATAAACTCATAGTCATGTATGTCCTCTAACCATCTCATAACGGTTTCCAAACCACTTTTATCGGATGTAAAGTAAAAGCATGGATGGTTATGTATAACGTCTAAAGTTTCTAAAGAGTCTCTCAAAGTCCAGTCTACTTGGTATTGAAAATCCCATGTGTTATAGAACGGCGGGTCCATTATAAAGAAAACATTTTCCTTGTCTTTATATTTTTCATACAACTCTGTCCAATAACATCTCACAAACTCTATACCCTCAATATATTTTTCTATGTCCTCTTTGAAAACATTTGTATAGTTAAGATATAAAACTTTTGACATAAGTGTTTCAATGTCATGAACTCTTATAGAACCACTATATAATAGTCTAGCAGATATACTATCCCAGTCTATATATTCTGCTTTTTTCAAAACCTCTCTCACAATATCTTTCTTATCTAATGGTATACGTTCCATCTTACCTATAGGTATCTTTTCTTTTAACTCTTTCAATATATTGTTTGTGTCTGGTATATGTTTGAGACGGTCCATATAGTTGTCGAAGTCATTGCATATAATCTTTGAGTCAGGAAATATGGTATGACATAAATGGGATATATAGAAACTTCCACCGAACAAATCTACAAATGTTAGACCATTCGGTAGTTTCTTAAGTTCTCTCAATATAATATCTTTACATCTACTTTTATTTCCAAAGAACGGTAACGGAGGTTTTGTAAAATTCATTTATATATAATAATAAAAATGTTTTTACCCGAAAAGTGACAGAAAAGTGACAAAACATGAAAACATATATAATTTGTGAAAAGTGAAACATTATATAATGTTTTCGACCCAGAAGAAGGCTTCTTCCCAGAAGCAATGGAGGAAGAAGAAGAGTCCTCCGAATTCACACCAGAAGACTAACAATTTTCCGAATAAAAACTTCATTTATACTAAACATCTTCGGGGCTAGAGGGCACGAAGTGCCTGGAAGCCCCACTACCTTTTTTTTTTATTTTTAATATAAATAAAAAACTTTTTTTATACAAAAAATTACAATCAATCGATAAATATTATACCCAGATTTTCCTTACTTTTACCACCCCTCTAAAGCTGGGGACACCGCCTATCGTTGGGAGTAGCTATTAAATAGAACCACCAAGGGTATTTTTCGAACTGCCGGTGTAGTGTAGTGTAAACATCCGACATAATGATTCATTATGCCAAGGTTTGATTCCCATTTAACCAATTTTTTTCTTTTTTGGATCATGAATTTTTTTTTGGGTCACTATAAGATTTGTTTCATGTTCTAAATCTGCTGCATATGTAATCTATTTTTATTTACCTATTTTTTAAAAATCTATTGGATTGCCAAATTTGAATATATTTAAAATCATAAAAATCC